CGGCATTCACAAAGAAGTGACAACTCTTTCAACGTAATATTCGTTATGAAAATACAGATCGCTACTCGACCAACGCTTACGCAGAATCATCTTGACACACTTGTACTCGAATTCTAGTTCTAGCTCTGATTCTCGCATTATTCGACATCCATTTATACCCATTCATACTATATGTTATTTCTAGGATATTCTAGAAGCATTTCCTAGAATAGTTCGTCCTTCGCTCATTATTGATTAATTAAAGATAACATTCTTACGATCCGTACATGCACCCTTCCGTTCACTCATCAGTTGCGCCAACAGTCGATCTTTTACCACGCCATTCATGCAACTGCTGCTCGCTATGACAAACGCTCGATCCATTCACCCATCTCATATATATATGTCATCGAGATACACGCAGCAAAAATCGAGTTCTCTCACAACTGACAATGCGTTTATAAAACGTTGAAAGGTTGCGTTTCTCATTGAAAGGCATTATGGTATATTCGAACAATCCGAACGGAGTGGTTATCGCGGTTTTCAGGACGTCGTCTACGTGTACCGGGATCTAGTGGTACGCTCTCGCGAGATCTAATGTGGAAAAGATTGTGTTGCATCTCGAACACTGCGCAACTCTCACATTAGTAGTTTCGCGGAGTTGTAAGGCCCATTACGCGGATGCGACAATGTTGTAGGAATGTGGTCTATTCTAAATTAATTGAGCTAAACCTAGTTAGGGTTGAATTAAAGAGTTCCGATATGTGGCTGTTCTCTAGCGCTCAGTTTGATCGTGGTGGGTTTGTCTTGACTGTTTTAGATTTCAGGTATGTTAGGGGGTTTTACAAAGTGAGGACTAGGTCACAAGTCTAACTCTCGGTGGCCGATTCGATATTCTTCTCCTCGCTATGAGGTACGCACGCTCTCGCCTCTCACGTAAACTGTCTTCCTACGCTTCTCGACCTACTCTTTTAACCCCTTGGCTACTGTGGGCACATATACGCGTTCAGAAATTTTGCTTTTGTGACACGGAGGGCGCATATAAGCGCTCAACACAGTTTGCTTTTCCGACACGGAGGGCGCATCTCTACCCAAAATTTTGCTGTTCGCGGCGGACATTGCAAATGAATTCCTACCCGTGTGGTACGACCGGTGCGTTTCAAAGTCTGCCGTAGTCAAAGGGTTAAGGATGGGCCTCCATCTGTTCATTCATCAGGATCGCCGCTTAGCTCAAGTGGATCGTCGCTTCGACTTGAGACTCCGGTTATCGCTGCTAAGTGCTCGTCACTCGCCGCTTTATTGGTAACCGGAGCTCGCACGTTCTTCTATACTTTCACATGTAGAATTTCCCGATCGTGATAGTTTGTCTTGACTTCTTTGGATTTGAGGGAGAACTGTCTTGGTCGTGATGGTTTGTCTCGACTATTTCGGATGTGAGGGAGAACTCCTCGTTCAACTCCTATCTAAGTGGTTTTATAAATTTGTATGTGTTCTGATTGGTTGGTGTGACATGTTAGTGGTATAAATTATAGTGGTACAAATTAGGCCACTATGCCCAACGTCACGGGGATGATTTATTAACCCTTGCTAAGGTTAACCCACGTGGCAGCCGGGTGACACAAGTATCCACGAGTCAAGGGACACTAACAATGAGAAAATAAACCAGTCCCCACTTAACTTGGGACATTCGGTCCTAGGGACGCAACAAATGATTATGGAGGTGAAACATTTTAACGACGATGAAAATTGAATGAAGATTCAGTAACCTTAGCAGAAGGTGTAGATTTTTTGCAGTCGCTGTGCATGAGTTAGGATAGTCTAGAATTGCCTTATTTATTCGTTCCGTCGTCAACCATGTTTCCATACAGCAAAGGATTTTCTACGTATTTTCAATTGGATTATATTTCAGCGTTATATTAACTTTATAGTGAGAGGCTCGAATATTACTAATAACCATGATAGTTTGTGCTTTGCATGACATAATAAAGAGTGAGAAGGTATCTTAGAAATTTAATTACTATAAACTATTGATCGCATATGCTCCATGTTAATCTCCTAAGGCCAAATATCTCGAAAAATACGAAAGGTGCGAAAAATGATAGACTAAAGTTCTCTGGTTTCGTAGTGGACAGTTAATGGTATCATTTATTTGACTTTATAATGACCTTGGAAAAGTCTATAAAAGTCAATTTGGAATTTTTAAATTAGAATCTATATTTTATTATACATATTATACATACATTATTTTAGTTGGCATCACAGTGACTTCAAAGCACTATCTAAATGCAATTTTTTCATAAATATAGTACATTACACTATTAATCATTCATACAATATATTATATATTATCAGTAATTTATATTTTAATTATCATTAAATTTTTATATTTTGTTTATCATATAATATATTATACATTATACTGTTAATCACTAATATAGTATTGCACCAATTATGTAATGGTTATTTTATTATATTTTATATTATTACTAATATTACTAGCTACATTGTTACTATATCTATATATAATATTATTTTTTTAATTAATTATACTCATCTAACCAAAGACTATAACGAATTATTAATCATCGAATTTGTAAAGTTTTACACCATTGGAGAGTAGTCAAAAATATTCGATATGCATTTTCTTTTATGTCATCGTCATTATATGTATAAATATAATTTATTAATATATAAATATTAATAATATATAATAAATAATAGTACATATTTTTAAATATTCAAGATATATTATATTTCTACAAAAATATTATAATATTTTCAATCGTTATCACTCTATTAATTACTCTATTAATTACTATATTATTTACTATACCATCTGACATACTAATATTATATTACTCTGTTGGGAATATTGCAAGCGTTTGAGTTATTTACCAGTCAAAATCAACACCACGTAAATTATGAGTAATGCAGATATTCGATATTTCTCTTCAAAATTTCACTTTTATTATTTCTCAAACTAACAAGGAACGTGCTATAAGAAATTAATTACAACCTTTATATTTGCTTCAGAACAGTATCCTAACCACTAACAGAAAAAACACCGGAAGAAATAAGTTATAATGAAACAATAGTGTCCACGACATTATTGCTGTCAGCAATGGATGATGTAAAATATGAGAAAATAACGATTTCTACTCTGTTTACGTCAACTACATAAAAGTTCCCAAGGGCAATTACTGATGAAAATATTGAAACTGTGAATGATCATCATCATCGTGAAAAAAATTTGTCAAGCATTAAGAATGATGAGAATATCCCCGATATTTGCAATGGCCACTGTGATTCTGTATTGACGTCCAACAATAAATTTCTTGTTTTTAAGTAATGGTAATAACTTAACAGTTATAATAATATTATAAATAATTATAAAAATGTGATGAGATAAAATCAGATATTAACCTTCTCTCGTTCTACGTCGATTTAACCTTGACGTAATATGAAACATGTTATAATTTAGTTTGACAGAAATATGTCAATGTAAATAGGTTATTTATCAGGAAAATATGGAAATAACGTAAAACTTTGAGAAACGTTGCAAAGTAAATATAATTTAGTATATATTTTATTACTTATAGTATGTCTGGAGTTTTAAAACTCGTGAAAATGTTGAAGATAGTTATGCAATAGAAATATCCAATGAAACTTCAGCAATTATTTCGTGATTTGCCGGATAATATTACACGGAATAAGGTTGGGTAAAGGAATGAAATTGACGGCAGTATTATACTTTTTATTGATGTGGCAAGTTTGTTGATCTAATCATTTTTAATTAGAAATCTAAATGAATGGAATGACAAAATTACTTGAAATGTCTTCAGTTTTTATACGTATGTTTTAATTATTATAATTATATTTGTAACTATATTTATATTTAAAGAATTAAACATCAAATATTTTTAATTTGAATGACACTTTGTACTTATAGACTTTGTCATTTTTAACTAGAAATCCATTTTATTCGTTACTTTATGAATTAATTTGTCAATGCAAAACATTATGACGTAAACTCTCTTAAACTCAAATAACTAAAATATTTAACCTCAATCTAACTATACTTAATAAATTTATATAATTTAAATTATATCTAAAAAATTATATATATTTATTTATGAATTATATATTTTGGACATCAAAACAGAAAAATACATTTTAGAAATAAATAATCTAACTGAAAAAACATTAAGAAATATATTCTTTAATCATATATACATACATATATACATATATACACGTTACATTTATCTATTTGCAGATAATTTTTATAAATTTTAGCAAAGATATTTAATAAATGATGTTTAATTTTTATACCAATTCTATGTCTTGTTTCTATTTGAAGCATTGTAGCAACACATTATACAAAATAATTATATTTGTATGAATAATTATTCTAATAGCTAATTTATTTACTCTGATATTGCATGAATGCATAAATGATTTTCAACAATTTGTATTTTAAAAACCAAAATGAGTACAGTTCTTTGGTATAGAATATTAAAAATTTTATCACCAGGGATCAGTATATTGATGCCGTGTAATTCCATTTCATATTGATGCTCCTATGACTTGGACAGATGGTACAATGTATTTTTTTAAAGATACATTATTTTGGAAGTTTGTTAATACACTTATTAAAACTAAAGATCATTATTCATTATTAATATAAAAATTTTGGTTTTTTCTTATCAATGACTTACTACATAAAATTTTATGATATAACACTATGCTTACTTTTATTAAATAAATAAACGGTATATAAATATTTCTATTTTTATTTATTTTCCCTTGAATGTATACATAAGAATATGATGGTAGATGGAAAAACTACGTTTATAAAAATCACTATAGGTACAACAATATAGATTCATATCAATTAGTAACGCTCCGAAGGAAGCAAAATTTTCATACAACGCGATGCGTCGAACATTGCTTTATAATTTCATATCGAGGATATTTTAACATTTTACTTGTGTTTAATAAAAAATATTTTCTATTTCGGGGAGCTTTACTTAAAAAATTAAATCCGGAGCAAGTAGTCGGTACAGTAAGTATGAGTAACGTTTATCGTTAATCATACTTAAAAATATTCACAAATATCAGCAATGCAACAAGTCTAGTATTACACATTTTTAACTACAACAACTCTGCGGCTTAGGGTCAAGTCCAGAACGTTTAGTTACTGATACACGTGTAAACTCTTCTGCCACTGTTGGATGAATTCCAACTGTTTCTTTTAATTTTGGGAATGTCAAATTACATCTAAAAAAAATAGACATAATAAAGAAAACAACATTGATGAAATAAGTAATAATTAGTATCCTTAAAAAAAGAAAAAATGAATTAGATACATACTTCATAGCAGCAGCAAAACCTTGAATCACTTCACCGGCATTAGGACCAATGAAATGCATACCAAGCACTCTTTGATCACCATTTCTAAAAGCAACAACTTTCAAATAGCAATTAGAAACATCCTTTTGTGGTACGAAAAATTCCGTTGGTTTGTAATATGCATGATAAATTTCTATTTTTTCTTCTCCGTGAATAGCAATTGCTGCTTCTTCGCTGAGACCAACACAACCATATTCTAGAGGACTAAATACTGTTGTCGCTACATTAATGTAATCCATTTGTTCTGTTGAGTTTCCAAATAACCTTCTTGCTAATAATCGACCCGCGAGTATAGCAACAGGAGTTAATTCTGGTTTTTTCTATAATACATAATGAAAATTATGCATATTTACTTATTTTACTTTTATTTCACATATCATTTTCTGCTTTAATGACAAATATATATCTAATATTAATGTGATATCATAAAAAATTAATTATAAAAAAAATCTTTTCCTTTAAAATGAATATAAAAAATTTTAAACTTACATGAAGCACATCACCAACAGCATATACATTTGGAACATTCGTTTGTTCATCTATTGCGTCTATTTTTGCTGTATCAGGAATAAGTTTGAGACCGATATTCTCTGGTTTCAGTTCTTCTGTAAGCGGTTTGCGACCAATAGCGAAAAGAACAGTGTCAAAAATATCTTGATGTGTTGTCCCATCCTAAAGCAGAGATATTTATCATCATATAAATATAACACACACGTTAATTATTTTTATTTCAAATTAGAAAACATACTTTATCAACCCAATGTACAAGCAGCCGCTCATCACTTTGTTTTTCAATTCTCGATGGCTTTGCTTCATAAATAAAGTGAACACCACGCCTTGTCATTTCCTCAGCAACAGTATTTGCCATTTGCTGATCAAATCCTCGTAATACAATTGAGCGTACCATTATTGTTGCATCATAACCTAAACCATTTAAGAACCCAGCACATTCTAAACCAATATCTATCCATTTATTAAGGAAAAAGGAACAATAAAATGTTTTAAAAAACAAATTTATAAATTTAAAAATATATAACACTCACTAAAGTAATCTTAAATTGATGTTTATAATATTTTAAAAATACATAAAGAATTGAGAAATATTTAATTTAAATTTAACAATTAACAAAATATGTAATATAAGAAATTACATTTATCAAGGGTAATTTATTTATTCGCTGCAAATTTATGTAAATATAACTAAAATCTTCTTGTTAAACTCAATTCCTTTTTTTAAAAGTAGAACAATTTATACAAAATGGATTAGAGCTTATTTCGTATCATATTTAAAAAGTCTCCTGTTTGTTGCAAAAACAATTTGAAAAAAATATCCATTATTTCTCATATAAATTATGTATAAATCACGTAAATCCGTAATCATGATATTCATAATTATTAAACCAAAATTTCATGTTATAGAAATTAGTATTCCAAATTCTTTTAAATTTATTTTAAACATTTAAAAGAACGTTTATTGTGTGTTACTTTAATTTGATTATGAAAATACTTTTTAAATCTCGAACGAGTTATAATTAACTATATGTATTTAATTATATTTCTGAATAATAAAACTAAAACTTTTATCACTTATAAAACTTAAAACATTAAACATTTTATACGATAAATCTTTGTTGCCAAAAATTTGATAAAAATTATCTATTTCATTGTGTATGTACATAAGTTGAATATGACTAAAGTATTATTTAATTTTTTATCCATTTTTTTTTTTTAAATTCATAGAATATTGTTTGAAATTACATAAAAATGAAAAATTAAAGCATTATTACTGAATAATTTCTATAAGAAAAGGATACATCCAGCACCAACAACAAGAGTCTTTCCTGGAGCTTTTTCTAAACTAAAAATATCATCACTGGTTATACCATATTTCAAAGCACCAGGAATATCAGGATATCTTGGTCTACCACCTACTGCAATTAAAATATTCTTTGCTGTATACAGTTTTTCTTCTCCATTCTTCATTTTTCCACATATTGTATGTGCATCTTTAAAATAACCAAGTGCGTTGATGTATTCGATTTTTCTATAATAATAAAAAAAATGAGTAAACAAATAAAAGCAAATTGTATTTAAAAACTAGAAACAGAGTAATGCTAACTTTGTTCTAAGTTCTACACGTGTAACCCAATTTACAGATTTTACATGATTTTGTACTGATGTTCTTAATGCTACCCAATCAATTTTAATAGCTTCTGGATCTGGTATTTGCCAACCATAAGCTGCTGCTTCCTAAAAATAAAATTCCAATATTCAAAGTTTTGTTAACACGTTCCGTGCCAAGCCATTTTTGCCCGATATGATCTCCAGGCCATTTGTCGTTTTGGTCAAAAATTGATATATTATCACGCAATATGTCATTACACCATCAATTCATAAGTAATTAGCTTGTTTAGAGTAGTTATCACACTGTGTACCATTTATGGTACACATGGTGCAGCGATCAGTTCGACTGTAAAAGTCAGTCAGTTGGAAAATTTTCGATTAGTAAAAAGAAGTTGAAGAGTAGTGACGTTTTGCAGCGATTACCCGAATAAGCCATTTTTATGCATCCCTTGTTTTAATAAAGTTAACCATTACGTGTAATTAATAACTATTGTATATATAACAATTAAACAAATTTGTGTGCTTTGTTCTATACTACATTTTGTATAATTCCTCATTCCTTTAGTGGAAATATATTTTACAGAATTAAATTTGTCATAAACATATGTTTTCAGCATATTAAATAAATATTTCTGAGTGTACCACCGGTGGTACACGTGGCC